AATTTAAAACTTTACAATATTTCATACTTTGTTAAATAAAATTTAATGTTGATGTTTAATGTTTTCTTTTAAAAAATTTTCATGTTAAAAAAAATTTCAGATATTCTCTTTGTTATGAAAATGTAAAATAATCAGAAACAATGATTCTTATATTTTTAATGTCCTTTTTAATAAACCTGGTCAAAACAACCATGCACTCATGGTTGTTTTTGGGAAAAAATAATTCATGGGACTCATGAATTATTTTTTTTTGCACGACACCTCACGGATTAAGATTAATCTTAAATAACTGTTTTAATATATATGAATTATTTGAATATTAATGAGAATGAAAACTTTTTAACGTAGCTTATTTAGAATTGATATTATATTAATTTAAAATGTATATCAATTGAAACAGTTGTAAAAACATTCAAATAAATAATAGAAGGAATTAGCTAACTATTGTTATTCATTATAAAATATAGTTTATCTAGTTTTAGACTACAATGTTTTTCATGCTTAATTTTTATAATGGTCGTATCTCACAAAAACTGGACAAGACACTAAAGGTATAGACACCAAACAACCTTGATTTGGTTCTGTAAATAGGTATACTTCATCAAAAACAAATATTTTCAGTCTTCTAAGATCTGCTTTAGGTATTTAGAACATGTATTATACCTGAAGCGGATCTTAGAAGGTTGAAAATGTTCATTATTGATGATTTATATCTATTTGCTAGACTAAATCAAGGTTGTTTGTATCTATACCTTAATTTTTATTTTATAAGAAATTATTTACATTTGTTATATCTTATAGTGCTCATCACAATNCCCTAACATTACCATTATTATCATTATTATCTAGGGGTTGATCTTACGGAGACTTTCAGTACAGTAAAAAAAAAAGATAATTCGGATTTTGGTGAGGAGCAGCAGAGGAATAAGGTACAGAGAGATAGAGAGAGAGAGAAATCCATTAAGCCCTTTATTATGCTGTCTGCTTAATGTAGAGGAAGGCAGAGTATGCGTGATTTATGTAAACGAGTAACATAAACTGGAAGATAGAAGCGAAGAAAGTTGTTCGTCTTCCCTCTTGAACCTCCAATAAGTGGTTGGTTGTATATAATGTAGAATAACGTTTGAAAAAAAGGGAGTGCCTGTCATTGAGAGTTCCTTCACTGGTGTTTTTTCCGCACTCGACTGACACGTAGATAATATGTGTAGCCACGAATTATTCGTTCTGCTGTTATTTGTCAGCCCAGGGGAACTGCTGTTGTCACGTTTTGTTTCTAACTCGCACGAATCTTATATCTTCTTCTCGGAATTGCCCTCCCCCCTTTATTGGTGATTCGTTTTTTTTCCTCCCCTTTCTAATACTATCTCTTTAGAAAGAATTACTGCTTCTTTAAATCTTATCAATAGTCTCGATAGGACGAGTGAGTCAATGAACAATTTTATTTTATTGTATTTTATTTATATGTTTGTCTCTGATGATAAGCAAGTATGAAGTGTAGCAAAGAGAACATGGTTGATTATTGGAAGTAGCAGTTTACAGAAATAAAGAAATTTTAACATTGCAAGAATTTAGCAAACCATTCATGTTGCAATGTATCAATGTTCATCAAAATATGGACATTGATATATTGCAGATGCAGGTTACCTGTCAGATGTTAAAGGAGCTAGGAAATAAACAGACTCATAGATTATATGATTATGTTTATATGAACTGACATTCTTCACAAAATCTGATCTAGATGATGGATGCTAAAAGTCTGTTTAATGGAATTTGCATCTTGTATTGACCTTTTTGGAAGGAATAGAAAAGTTGGATTGGTATCAAAGGAGATCTCTTTCAACCTTGAGACAAATGTGCATTTTGAAATGATCAACAAAACAAAAGCATGAGTGCCTTTAAACTACCAACAAAATGCTAACATCTGGGATTTAGAAGTGATGTTTGGAAGACAGACATTGCAAATAAATTACTCAACTTACATTCCTCCATTTTACTTTACAAAGAATATTCCATTGCTATTATATCTGGATTACTCATTTCTTGAAAAATGTGATGATAATTAATTATGATTCTGTAATAAAATAAACTACAGTAGAACTCTGATTAAGATTCTGCATTTTCTGAGGAAAACCTGTATGTGAATTCACTAGTTTTCTTATACTGTAATTAATGAAAGAAAGTTCAAAACCAGTAACAATATTACAAAATGATTTTTGTTTTACCTATTATTATTTCAGCTTCTATGTGAAACAAATTATTCATATTTAAATGTAACTTTAGTAATTTGCATTTTTATTTTTAAAACTATTGTGCATATTAGTTATATAATAAGTGATTATAAAAATTGATATCCTTATGTATGATTAAATTCATCTATATCTATACTAATATTATAAAGAGGTAATGTTTGTATGTATGTACAGGTATGTAAGTTTGTTTGCAGCAGGTAATCTCCGAAACTACTCATCCGATTTCACAAATTCTTTCACCAATATTTAGAATGGAACCTCAGGGTGGACATAGGCTATATATTATTCCGTTAAACATTCATATAAATTAACATATATAATCTAGGTTAAGGCTTTTATGTCCAACAGATGGCACTACGAGTACGACACCCTAAGTTTGCTTTTCTGTGAGGCATTATGCTTTTCTGTGAAAATGAACTAAAGCGGATCATCATCTATCTATCTATCTATATAAATAAAAATGTAATGTTCGTTTGTTCCTACCGATTCCTTTGAAATTTTGACACAATGCTGCATTCGAATACACACGTGTTTTTATATAATATACGTGTCGAAATTCCACCCACTGAAGGGAGATGGTTAGGATTAAGGCTTACCGTAAAGAACTCTGCTTCTATTTATACTNGATAGAGGAATAGAAAAAAAAATAATACTCCCTTTGGAGTAAGATATTTGTTTGAATGTCCATGATGGATGCTTCAGGAGTAATTTAATGAAAAATCCTATTTTAAATGAGAAATTCGAGACTTTATTTTGATTTAATTTTAAACCAGTTTATTTTAAAGTCTTGTTTATATAATTATCGTGATGAAGTAAAGTTATTTTGTTATGGCCACTCATCTTCATGATGATAGAATCTTTATTATGTTTACTGCGAGTAAATGCAAATGCATGATTAGTAACTCGATCCCACTTATTATCCGTTTCTGATAATAATCCGTAAGTAGATGACGCAAATAATCAAGATAATAGGCAAGAGTATGGATTTAAAGATGGCGTAAAGCCTCTAATTGAGCAATTACACCACTCATGGTCTAATTATGTGCTCTAAAACGCCCTTGACAACCAAAGCAGATTAGGGTAATAAATCTGTATGGTTCCCATTATTTTAAAGATTAGAAAAAAATTATTACTGTGTCAAATGGTTTCCGAGAGGCAACAAATTAGTGGCCCATATACCGCCGCTAGCCTCTAGTTCCAGGTAAAACCACAGAGGTGAGAATGTGCAGGAACTGCCCCCTCCTTGTTTTGTTTATTGATCCGATCGGCTCATGGCACAACTGCTTTTCTTCTAAGAGGTGTCAATGAGGTATGCGGTGCCCATTGTTTCCGTTTCTATCTTTTACGTTATTCCTGATGACCGCGAAACACGCGGAAAGAGATAAAAGAAATCTAGAAAATTTCCCTACATAATAGACTCTATTGATGAAAATTACTGTTAAAGATGGAAACATCCGAGCTCTCCCCTCTTGTTGTTCTCCCCGTTTACAGGTCAACGAACCCATAATATTGTACGCGATCGGACAAGCTTGTTTTTCATATTTCCGCCATTTTACCATTGAACAGGTGGAGTAAGTTAGCCCATTGTAGTGGCAGATGACTATATACTATAGAAGTATAGTTGGGTATGACAGCAGGAATGGCGCCTGCCTGTCCTTTAGCCACGACATTGGGTACTAGTACGACACTCCCATCAATCACGGGCCCGCCTTGTTATCTCCCGTTTTTTGGGAGTGGCCTCCATGGCTGCCGGGTTAGGCCTTTTGTGTGAAACACCGGAGTCGGGGGAGGCTGTAAATCATAGACACAGGGGCTTCACCCTCAATAGTCTGGTCAGTACTCTACCCCAATACCGTAAAACCTTTTTGTCATGGTGATTATTTCGCCGAATTTTCTCGAAATTGTGCCGTTTTATTACACTCCTTGTGGTCCGATAACTTTTTAAGTGATGACTGTAACGCTTTCCGATCGACTGTACTATTTTATGCACGTTCCGGATCCTTACACGCATAATCACCATACCACCGTTCTGTAAATACTCTAATAAGCGCCCAATTTATGGTCCCGCAGCTTCCAAAATTCGAATTTTAATAATTTTTTTTTCCTATATGCGTAACAACGGGGTGGCTGCATCGTTTTTTTTTTTTATTTTCTCCAGCAAACGAGTTAGTTTCTGCGGGAGTCCCGACTTAACATTCTATCAAAGTACCTAAAACCGTATCAATAGAGGCACTCCTTAAAAGACACTAGAACCTGGAAACACGGAGGAACCGAAGCTAGAAGTTAAGTAATAATAATAATATGATTATTATTTAAAAAAAAAGATAATAATAATTTAAACATTTAAGCTTGAAACGAAGAGTGGCAGAGTTAATAAATATAAATCAAATAACATAATCAGAAAGTTATTCATTTATCAAAGTCCATAGTCTGAAAGGCGGTACAGTCGGATGTTAGAATGTCTTAACAGAGTTGAATGACAAGATAGTCATACAGAAGGTAAGGAAGGAGTGATTGAATTATTTATTGGGATGAAGCCATCAGCATCATTGTGTATATGTAGGGAGGGACGATTGCAGTTGGGCGGACATCATTGGAGTGGACTCTTAGGCCGGGGCAGGTGGCAGATTATGTGACAAGTAAACTGGTTAGGACACGTGATTCCGGCTAGAAAAATCATGATAAAAATGTTGCCGGGAGTAAGTTAATGGAGAGTGCCACTAGGGGGCCAGTTAGGGGACGCCCCAGGGACGGTGACCGGTCAGAGGGTAGATCGACCATGTGCACGGAACAGCCGGCGGCCAGGCTAGGGCACCGGGCTACATTCCAGCTGGGCCAGCGACTTGGCCTTGGCCACAACGGCATTGGAGGCGGTCTGTGAGCAGACTAGCCACTCAGAGCTGGCCGCCACTGTACGTTGGTAACCCGCCTTATGATGTCTCTATTGGAGCTGCAGCACTGCGAGCACAATGTCTGGTTCTGCCATTAACTGATACTTCGTCTTCCTCCTTAATGTAAGTAAGGCCCGTTTTTCTATGCCCGTTTCGTCCCGATCCGCTTTAATACCTCTTCATTTATTCAATTGTTCCCTACGTTTTTTAATGTCGTTTTCGCTTCTGGCATTAGGCACTTCTCTAGTTCTCTATATGGCCACTAGGGTCTATCTTTCATTGACTACATCTTAATCTGCGATGTCTAGTGATAACATCCACTTAACGCCTGCTGGTCACGTGACTCAGACGTCCCTATTACATTCCGCTCCAATTTTCACTCACCAATCTTCTCGTAAGCCATAAGATAGCTCCGAATTCGTAATAAGTGAGTTTCCTTTTACAATTTTATTCTAAAATTAATCTTTTGGGTCCGTTTTCTCAATTCACTTTCGCAGAAAATGCCCTACTGATTACTTACCACCCTCCTTGTTTGTGTTTTTGTGTATAACCCGCATAGCGCGGGTCACACCTTTAAATGTCACGTTAACTGTACAATTTTGTAAGGCCATGGAATGAATTTGCAGCGTTTTATTTCCCCCCTTTTTTTCCCTACAAAACTCTAAACAACAACGAACGGAAGAGAAGGAGAAAGTAAACTAGCTCTTTGCAGTCAATCTATATATAGATTAAATATAGGTTGCTTACGAAGATTTACTTTATTTTTCCACTCTTATATTAGAAAATATCAAATTTTGACTCTATAAAAAGACTAAAAAAAAAAAACATTTCAATTCTTAAATTATCCCTTCTCCTACTTCACCCCTTTTTTACAAAAATAACAAAAGAGAAGAGGCATCGTATACCAGAAAAAAAAAATCATATATATATATGTATTATTAAAGAATTTTTGCGACATTTTTATAATGGAATAAATTAGCCTTTGAATTCCAACACAAAAACTCAGCATACGGTCTTTTCCTATTATCTAGCTTCTGTATCTACTGCATGTTCACGGTTGACATACAAAACTGCATGGACAAGAAACTAATAACATTCCTGAAACCACTGGCGTAAAATCCAATTTCTGTAGTCGCCAACTCAATAACATACTTTATTGTTAACTCCTAATGTTACATACCAATAATATGTAATGGCTCTCTACGCTTTAGAGGTGTGGAAAGAAAGGTGCAGGGGGAGAAAAAAAAATCTCTCTCCTCTCTCTCTCTCTTTCTCTTTCTGCAGGGGGATTAAATAATAACTACTAAACCAGAAAAAAAAAACAGTAGTGGAGACTGAATTTTTGATTAAAAAGTTTTTTTCTGGTTATTCTTAGGCGTGTATCTTCTAAATTATAGATGCTTCAGCTTGATGTGTTATTATACACCAAGATGAAACATGTATAAGTATACATAGGTGTACATATAGTCTATATATGTTTTTATATATGAAAAATTCAATTAATTTACTTGATTTTTGTAGTTTCTAATGTAATAAAATACAATTTTTTTTGTTTTTTTTTGCTAGTTTTAAAGATAGAAGTAGAGTTTAGAAGAGGGGGATTTTTATGAAGAAGGATAGAATTTTCAACTAGTTTTTCAATCATTTTTGCACCTCCTTAAGCANTTCACTAGTTTTAAACATGAGAAATAGTTTAGAAGAGGGGGATTTTATTGAGTAGGATGGGAGGAAAATAAAGTTTTATTATTATATATTTAATTATAATGACATAATATCAGTTTTAAATAAGATATTATGATATAATTTTACTATAAAATTATTAAAATTTTAATTAATTTACTTGATTTTATTAAGATTGAGATGAGACATAGATTTTAGAAGAGGAGAGAAATAAGAGGAATAAAAGAAATTTTATTTTATATATTATAATTTTAAGTAATATTATATTATTATTTAATAGTAAAATAATATAAATTAAATGTATTAATGAAAAAAAAAGACATTTTATAAGCTTATAGAACACATCTTGATAGAAATAAGTAGTAAATAATCAGAGATAACTCATTTAAAAGTTCAGTTAATTAATTATTGTAATTTAGAATAAATTAAAGAAGATATTCTAATAAAAATATATGAGAAAGAGCAATAAAATTTGTGTAAATTAAAAGGGGGGATTTACAGATAGAGTATAGAAATTAATCTTAAGTTGTCCTTACTATGAGAGGATTTTAAGTGATAAAAGACATAAATTTAATTAGTATACACTTTATTTTAAGATTAGAGAGTTTAAAAAAAGTTAATTTTATGTCATTAATAACTGAAAACTAATGCGTTTTAATTATATTTAAAATTCATTTTTGATAAGATTATCCATGGAAAAAAATATATATGTATGTGCATAGGAAGCTTATTAATTTTGTTTTTGTATGAGAATAATTAAAGTTATGGGAAGATAAATTAAGCATTAACGTATAAGTGACATTGGCTTAGACATCATCAAAAAAAGAATTTAGAATTTTACTGTAATCCATTTAAGTGGATTATTGATTTTAATCATCGTTCATCAAAGTGTTTTAAGAAGTTTTAAAATTATTTCTTTTAATTAGCGATTGATATTTAATGTTAAAAAATATATTCATGAAAGTTTTTCTTTCATTAATTCCTAGTTTTCAATTCTCATTAAAGTTCTTTCATTTTTTTTTTTAAGGTTGTTATCTATGACTAATTAATTCGGCTTCAGTTAATTAATTAATTAATAGCGTTATTTACCACATAGTTTTTATTGTAATTAGAATTTCGCGAGTTATTTTATGCCATTTATGTTAGACTTTTTGGGAAAAGAATCGATGTAAGTGATTGAAGAAAAGTTAAAAAAGGAAAAAAAAGGCACTTGAACCGCTCTAAACTTGAGAATATTTCGCAATTTTCTGTTAATTCTGTTCTTAAAATCGATTAATTTTTGTTAAAAATTCACTTTAATGTTGAATTTCGGGTGCTAGAGAAGTTTGGTCCTAGCTCTATAGGCTTTGTATATAAGATTATACAAGTAGACCCCCCCTATAACACTTGATTTTTCCGTGTTATATGAATTCCATGTTGTACGAGTCACTTAGATTTTACAAATAAGCGTACCGGGCTGTGAAAGGCTCGCGTATTTGTAAAATCTAAGTGACTCGTACAACATGGAATTCAAATAACACGGAAAAATCAGCAGTGTTATAGGGGGGTCTACTTGTATTCGTGAATTGTAACCTATGAAGCTTCTTGCACTTGATTGTAACTTAGAATAATGTAAATAATTGATGTTAGATACTTTAAATTATAGTAAATTTGTGTTTAAGTATTAATTTAATTGATTTACATGCAGCTTGTGTAAGGTTAGAAGCGTTATTAATACTTAACCCCTCTTGATAAACAAAGAACAGACTGGCATTAATTAAACCGTCTTTTAAGTCTAAAAATCAATTTTCTATAGTCTTACACACAATAAACAAGTCATAACATGTTTTTTTCGAGTGTTATTCTTAATTATGACAACTCGAAAATAATAATTGTGCAATATTTAAACTTTAATTAAGATTTATATAAGCTTAAAAACATACGAGAAAATGGGTTCTCAACAAAAGGTACACAGCGCCTGAAGGTAGTAAGTATACATAAAGTACAATAGGCCACTTACAAAGAATATATTTTTTCGCTCTCGTTATCTTAAAGTACGTTTTATAAAATATAAGAATGGCTGTAATTTATTAAAAATTACGGGTAAATATATAAAATATTTTCTATAATAATCCTATATTATAACTTCAGGTTTTGGAAGTCTAGAAGGGAAGACATGTAGAGTGTTGTATTATGTCTGATGGAGCCTCATTTCGGTAAGTCGTTTCTTATTATAGACATCATTTTCGGCAATTTTTTAACTCCCGAGTGTGTAGCACAGTTTTATTATGTTTAGATATCTGTCACGCTATTTTTAGAAGAAAATATGGCGAATTTTTCAGCCTGTCACCGCTTATACTATTCTGCCATTTATTTTGTGTAAAGTAGAAAGTTACATCATGTCCGACGTATTTTATCGCTTAGTTTTTGAACTAACTTGGCGACGTTTAACCTAATTAAATCGAATTTTTTCTTCCTAATTACTCGGTTCTTATTTAACTGTATATTGATGTGTAGTGTAAGGACACTTTACTGTATCTGTATTTATTCATTTCTTTTTGTTGTATTAGTAAAGCGTACAGTAATATACGATTAATTACTGTTTAAAAGTACAGCACACAATACAGGCAATGTGAATTTTGACAAAAAACAAAGTTCCAACTGTATTGGACTGTATGCTTTATCAATAATGGTACTTATACCAGCAATACTTTCCATGGTAATTATCAATGCATGGAATATTTAGCATTGTTAGTATCAATTACTTACTAATAATACTTCAACTGTAAATATTTGTATTGATACTTACCATGGAAAGCATTGTTGGTAAGTATCAGTAACATTCAATTAGGCTATACTTTGTCAATAATGGTACTGATACCAATAATAAATATTCATTTAATACTTACCAATGATACATTTTGATGGTAAACATTACATATTTATGAATTGTAAGTATCAATAACATCCAATGATACTATCTAATAATGGATACATGTCATTAAAGCATCAATTTCTCAATTTTAAGTCATGCTTTATTAATTTTATATGTATTAAAATCCTTATTTATTTTCTAAAAGTTGTCATTTTTGCTTTTTATGTTTATAAAATGCAATTATTTTCTAACTTAATGTAATTTTAATGGAAGAAAAAGTCTAATATTTTTTGACCATTTCATCGTGTTTATCTATAATATGGAATCTTTATTAATTTATAATTGTTTAGATTATTATTGTGATATTTTATGATATGAAAAATAGTGTTAATATCAGCAATATTTTTTTTTTTCTAAGTAAATTAATTTTAATTTCTAGCTTTCTGTATATTTGATACTTGTTGATAAACTAAGGATTTTCTGTGGGCAAAATTCAATATTTATTTATGATATTTTATTGTTTCACAATCATTTTTTGCACTTTTTGGCTTTTACAACATCTAGAAATGACTTAATCTTTGCTTAATTTGTGTGTTGAAGTATGAAAAAATTACACATTACATTACAAAATAATTCATAATTTTACTTATTTCTGGATTTTTTATTGTATAATTTTATATAAATTAACTGTTTTTTTAACAAATTTATAACATTAGAATTGTATTTTATACCTTTTTTTTTTCTTTGGATAGTCTGGTCATAATTTAAATGAGATAAGAAGAAACTATTTATATAAATAAAACTTTGTTCATTTTAATGTTTATACTGTTAATTAAACTTCCTGATTATGTTTACTTTATAATATATTAAATTTTTATGAATTTTATATACAAAATAAATTATTTTTAATATTATTCGAGCAATTTATCTAACTCTAAACCCATCAACAGAAGTATAAAAAATGTATTTTTAATGCTATTTTATTACTTTATTAGCATAAAAATTACAGAAAATTGCAGAAAAATATGAAAAGAAGAACATTCTTCTTAACATAAAACATGACTGAAGCCTTTAATAAATGAATTATTTACAATAATGTGTAAAAACAAAAGTTTTTAATTTAAAAATAAGTAAGAAATAGCTGAATATAGGTTAATGATATTTATAAGAATATTTAATAGTAGAAACAGGGAAAAAAAGAGCAGTGAGAAACTATTTTGTAGTGTCATAATAGAGACAATGGATTAGTTAGGGAAATCTGGGAGAAGGTTAAGGACAGGGGCCCAAGAGGGCAAGATGGGACATGTGAAAAGGGATGGGTATAGGATACATTTAACCATGGACCAGCTGTGGGCTTGTTTCTCTTTTATCAATAAAACTTTTAACTAGTTAAATTTTTATATTATATCTAAGATTGGTAATTAAGCCGAATGTTTGACATCCTTTCTCCATGAGTAATCGATGATAATGTTGTTTATTACTTCCTATGACACTATATTTACTTTAAACTCGACTTTGTTTACAAGTAAAAGAGTACACCATCTGTAAATTTGTACATGTGTATCCGTTTATGGCCTTATGATATTAATATTATCGCATTTAAAGACTCTCTTCCCCCATTTAACTTTCATCTGGACGTTAATTATTTTTCATAACTGTAAATGAATTAAAGAAGAATTTTCTGAAGAACTAGTTCTTGTTTTTTTTTTTTCTTTCTTTCTTTTGCCTTTGATAATTTTTAATGCTCTTAGGCATTTTAGTAATTATTACGCTGCATAATATAGTTGTAGTATGTTGTCAATTAACATAAAAACTGGCTTAATGACCCTTTACACGTTAAAAGATGTAGTCGTTAGAGGTCTATCAATAAGATCATTCATGGACATCATAAAATGGGCTTTTAAAATGGATGAAAATTTAGAAATTTCGCTCGAAAAATATAAATTTGAAACACATTTAATGGTGCATCTTGTTTTTATGTACGTTCCGTGTGTGTACATTCACTGATTGTAGGAGAGTACAATGATATTCTATTTGGTTTTCTATCATTATATCCGTACTTTAACCCACACAAAATGTTTCTGTTACGTGTGTTAAGACGAAACGTGACTACCATACGCGTGATCACGATTTTTAGTGGTATCTAGTGATAAAGATATACCCGTTTCAAGCATAGAATTTGATTGCGTGCCAGCTAAAAATCAGCTTCAATCTTCCTTGAGGTATGTCACTCTCTATAAGCCAAAGCACCCTATAAAGATACAATTAGTCATGTACGAATGTCATGAAATTTTTTCAGCTTTCAATAAGATAAGTCTTTACTTTAAACGGTCTAGTTAATGACCCCTGGTTGCTTGGATTGACCCTCGCCAAGTTCACGCTCAGCAGAACTATTTAGTGGTCACGTTAGCCATGGTCATTGTCGAGGTTATACGAGTCGCATACCTATACAAGATTTTTAGTTATGATAAGCTTTTATGGATATAATTCATGGATAATTAATGTTTAGCTAATCGATGTTGAGCTTCGTTTAAGAGCGTTTTTTAAAGGGATTTTCTTTGGCATTTTCGGGTCAAATAAGAATTTATCAATTAAAATTTCAAGTTATTTTGCAAATTCAATATAACTTTATTGAATTTGCAATGCGTTGATTTAATAAATATTCCTTTAAATAGTAAGAGATACTCTTCTGAGTTAAATTTGGAGATATTCCTCTTAAATTGAAGACATCCCTGTTTAACTGAGGATACGTTGCAGTTTAAAGATATTCATCTAAAATTATAAGATAGTCCTTTAAAAATGGAGATAATCCTCAAAAATTGGAAGATATTCTTCTTAGATTGAAGATATTCTGTATAATTGACGACATACTAAAGTTGGAAGATAATCCTCTAAAGCTGAAGACATACCACGTGAAATTGAAGATATTCTTCTCAATTTCAAAAATTGAGATCAAATAGGGCATTCAAGGCGCCATAATAAAGATGAAACAGATACGTTACGCTCCATCAATTTTAAAAATTCAACAAAAGAAAAGAATCGGAGAGGATCACTAAAACGCTTGACAGACCATCCGAAACCTCCATTTTGGTTAAAGACTATCTAGAAAAAGAATTTACACGAGTTTATTTCATTTAAAGTATCAGAAAATCGGAGAGGAAAGGAAGGAAAAAAAAGGGGAATTGCATCCTCTAGGCTTTAGCCACTACAGAATTTTCTACCCTTTGCACCTCATTTTGAAGAATCGTAAAATGGCGACCTCCTGACATTATCTTGGAAGAAGTAAAATTATGCAATTAGTAGCTTAAAATAATCGCGAAATTTATCTCTTCCGTAATATAACAAAGTCTACTTTTTAAAGATTATTATTATTATTATTATTATTATTATTATTATTAATTTTTATTTTAAATAATTTTCCAATAAAAATTTTTAATTGGTATAATAAGCAACACTGTAAATTAACCTAACCTGTTTTGAAATTTAATCACTTTATTAAAAAAGATTCTGCTTCCGTTAATAATTATTTGAACACGCAAAAGTTTTTAAGAAGTTTTAAAACTAGTTGCGTGCATTTGAATGGATGTCCTTTGTTGATTTAACTCATTTTTTCGTATGTATTAAACACGGGTTATAACTAACCGCTCGCCGATAATACGCCGCCATTTTTTTTTTAGTCTTTGAAAAATGGCCGTTAATCAACGAACTTATATGATCGATTCGAACAATCTCACAGACTCTAGCTACCGATTAAGATCACTCGTTACTTTCCGAACCATAATTGAGTCTCGGGGAAAAAGAAAAAAAAAAAAAAAATCCCCAACGATCCCGCCCATCTACCATCATCCACATTTGACACGTAAGCACGAGATCACATTTGACACATAAAACATACAAAATACACTCAGGCCTATGTTTAAAATAATTTATATTCAAGATGATCTCTCTTCTAGTCTTTTTTTTGCTCTCTCTCTCTCTCTTCCTTTTCGAATTCTTCATCACCTACAGGGATGCTTCGGAAAAATATATTCCTCAATTAACTCGGATTAGTGTCGATTATGTTAATGTTTTTATATAAAAATCTTAAAATTAGTAAGATTTATAGATTGTATCTCGTTTTAGGTTCATTTAGATGAACTTTTTATAGTAAAAAAAATAATTAAAATTTTTTTTTTTTTGCTGTCTCTTTATTTATTAACGCGCGCTTCTCTCTTTCTCTCTCTCTCTCTCTGTCGCTCACGCTCTATTCATTTTTATAATAATAAGTTTTCGTGGCCGCTCCTTTAAAGTTTAATTAAAAAAGTTTCCCTCCGCATTTAGGAATGCCGGATGTTTAAGTTA